ACTTCCCTTAATTTCTAAGCTTCTAGAAGGTATGAAAAACAGACAAAGAGCAAACATGATATTAAAGCAATATTTCCCAAACCTGTCTGATTACACACCAGAGACACTTGTTTAAAAAAAACACACAAGGCTTGGCATCTGCGGCTCAAGTGGCTAAGGCGCCAGCCACATACACCTAAGGTGGCGGGTTCGAATCCAGCCCAGGCCCGCCAAACAACAATGATGGCTGCAACTAAAAAACATAGCCAGGTGTTGTGGTGGGCACCTGTGGTCCTAGCTACTTGGGAGGCTGAGGCAGGAGACTCACTTGAGCCCAGGAGTTGGAGGTTGCTGTGAGCTGTGATGCCATCGCACTCTACCCAGGGGAAGAGCTTGAGGCACTGGCTCAAAAAAAACAAAACAAAACACAAAAACCCATACCCTGAAGCCCTTCTCAAAACCATTGATAGAATCTTCAGGAGAGGGGTCTGGGGATCAGTATTTTTATTTTTTGAGACAGAGTCTTACTCTGCTACCCAAGCTAGAGTGCCATGGTGTCATGGTTGCTCACAGCAATCTCAAACTACTGGTTTCAAATGATCCTCCTGCCTTAGCCTTCTGAGTGGCTGGGACTGTAGGCACTCATCAGAATTCCCAGCTAAGTCTCCTATTTTTAGTACAGATGGGGTTTCACTCTTGCTCAGGCTGGTCTCACACTCCTGAGCTCAGGCAATCCACCCACCTCAGCCTCCCAGAGTGCTAGGGTTATGGGCATGAGCCACCAGGCCAGGTGTATTTTTTGTATTTTTAACAAATTCTTCAGGTGAGCTGTGGGAAGCAGACAGACTGATCTCTATGGGGCACCTCAATCCAGAGTAAAGCAAGGTGGGGCATCTCTGGGGGCTCCTTATCAAGACCAGGGAGAGATGACAGGAACAGGGAGGCACCCAGACAGGGTAAAGTCATTAAGACCATCCTGCTGCCTTATGAATTCCTGATTAGCGGTTAGATTAGGGAAGTTGGTTTGTCTGCCCTGGGAGACAAAACTTGTTTTCCCCTTCCCCTAGTCTAGGTGCATTTATTGGCCCTTGTTGATAATTCACTACCCTATGTTCCTGATTACCCTGTGGTTGCCTTTTACCCAATCTTCCTGGGGGCTTGAGATTTCTTTTAATTCTGTTTTGACACTTTTGCATTTTGCATGTGCTTTGTCTTAGAGATCAATAAAAGGTTTCTGAGGAGTCAGAGGGGTGCTGCATTGCCTCAATCTGCCACTTGGCATGGGAGTTAATGTACGTCTCTCCAGGAAATCCCAGGCAACCCAGACTTTATACATTATGTTGGTTCTTCAGCATCCTCTCCCCTATCCACTCCCAATCCAGGTTGGAACCCTGACAGTGAGCATTATGAGCTAAGTTTGGGCAACAGTGTTAAGCAACAGAGAAGAAAAGCCCAAAGGGCTACAGGTCAGCCCACCCTTCCCTGGACAGAGCAACTAATTCCTCTTAATCTAATCCCTTGGTCGGTCCTCTGTTCCTCTCTGAGCAACAGTCTATTTATAATTTGGCTTCTCATGCAGCATGCCTGCTGGGAGAAAATACACCAGTCTAAGGGGGAAGAGTTCTACTTTCTAACAGCTGCATTTCTCACTATAAATTAACAAATCAACAAAAATGATCAATTAGTCTCTGTGAGTTTAGATGATACAAATCTTCCCCTACCTAGTTCTACTCTCAGGATGTGAACTCTATCAGAATCACTTGCCATCACCCCTCTAAATCCTTAGGCCAAAACTGCTGGTGCTGGAACCATTCAGGCTAGTACCCTCAAACCTGGAAATGAAAAGAGCCTCAACACAAAATTAAAAGATTCAGTGGGTATGCGCCTAGCCCTTTCAGCTAAGGTTTTAAGACAAATTTGTAAGGAAAACTGTTCTATTTTCTTGTCTCTAATAGATACTTGAGTTTAGAATTGGGCCAGGTGGCTCACTGTCCAAATGCAAAATGCACAGAGAGCAGATTGTTGGGCAGGGGGAGTCGGGGACATTTTTAAACACAGCAAAATTATTTCCTTAGCAAATAAGCTATCTTAAATTATGTATAGCATTACTTTTATTTAACTAACAGCCTTTCAAATCTGTTACATGGTAACAACATGCAATAGTACTTTTTTCCTACAGTATAACAATTACTATGAAAAAGGAATTAAAACAACAAAATCATGAGTAGTTTTTTTTTTCTTTTTTTTGGCCAGGACTGGGTTTGAACCTGCCACCTCTGGTATACAGGGCTGGTGCCCTACTCCTTGAGCCACAGGCGACGCCCAAAATTTATTTCTTCCAGTAATCACCTGTAACAGTTAGAAATGAATTTGACCAGCTAAGTTGAAAAAATATGTCAAATCATTTTAGTCCCACGATGACTTTGATGGGTACTCTGTCATGTAGCATCAGATTTACCATTGTAAGACACCAAGATAGTTATTTCTCCTGTATGTGAAAACGTTCCATCCTTATCACACAAATGAGTTTTAGGGATGAAATTTTTCAGGCAAATCACTCATTAAATTGTGGAAGGAATAAGATATTTTTAACCTGAAAATCCAGAGTCCTTATCCGATTCAGCAGCAGCCATGCCGAGTTGACGAGCCACCTTTTTCATCTCTGTGCCTTTGCCTAGTTTGGCCGAGAGTCTTCTGGGGCTTTCTCTGCTTGGGTTTTTCCTCTCCATGTTTTACTGGGCTAGAGGCAGATTCATTGGTACTTTTTTCATCTGCATTGCCCTATGAAAAACAACAATTACATAAGAAGTCATTGCCTGGAGGGCTGAAACAGGTGATTCAAACAGTGAATAAAAGGAAGGGCAAAGAACACTGACCTCACCCACTTCGGCTATACTTTCTCAGAGATGTCAGTTAACAAAAGCTTCTAGTTTACTAAACAGAATGGTTTCCACCCAAAAAGGGATTCACAGTCCTCTGGCTGCCCTGTAAATCCATTACAAATTCAAGGCACACAAACCACATTCAGCATAAGCTTTGTGAACGGCTAACAAAGGCACATTTGATTAGGCTTTTTAGAATGGGTAACCAACTCAACTCTAAGAGGGAAAAGGGAAAGCGGAAAGGAGAAACACCAGGAGGCTTGCTTTCTTGCTTTCCCTTCCTGGCACACATTTGTAGGCTCACGACCTATTACCCCCTTCCACAGTGTATAGTTTTTCAAATCAACCTTTAAGTTCTGTGGATGAAGTACCGAATAAAGTAAAAGCAACTCCTTATATACGCATGCTATTTTTTGTATTTAAAAAATACTTTATTATATACATAATAAAGTGTTTATACATAGTATAAAAGTCCATAACTATTGCTATTTATGTTATCTCACTTGAGTCTCACAGGGTCCTCCCCAGTTGCTATTCTGTTTTACAGAGGAGGAAGTTGAGGCTTGGATAAGTTACATTTAGTTACTTAATATTTATCAAGTGCCCACTGTAAAACAGGCATGTGCGAGGATGAGGTACAGTGCAAAGACAGACATGGTCAATTCCTTTCTGGAGCTTAGGATCTAGAGAGAGAGAGAGAGAGAGACAGACAGACAGACAGATAAGCACTCACAGCCAATGACTGATAAGAGCTATGAAGGGAGGGGCTCAGAGTCTGAGGAACTGAGGAAGTGCCATGTAGCTGGGATCTGGAGGATGAATGGTTAGGAGTCAGGCAGGTGAAAGATGGTGAGTGGGGTATGCAAGTGTGTCCCAGGCAGAGGGAAGGAGCCAAGGGAGGAAGGAGCCTGGCACACCCAAAGAGCTGAAAGGCCAGAGCACGGTGCAGAGGGTACAGAATGCCATGCACTGATGCTACAAGGGACAGAAAGGCAGTGCCTGGGAATCCCTGCTGGAAAGAGGTGGATATGAACTTACAGGATTTTAACCAAAAGAGTTAAAATCTGACATAATCAGATTTGCATTTTAAAAGCAGTTTGGATGCCACACTAAGAGTAAAGTAGAAAGAGGCATTGTGACTGTGGAGAGTGGCTCTGAGATTGTTCAGAAGCTGTCATCGCATCGTGAACTAAGGCGGTGGCTGTAGAGATGCCCAGAAATGAAACGTGGAGCACCATCCACCCGATGGGACCTAGCCATTGTATAAGGGAATAGAGATAGTGGTACCATTTTCTAAGTTGGAGAGCTCAAGAAGACCACAGAAAGGAATTGGGTAGGGTGGGGCAGGGTGGCATGGCTCAGCTAGCTCAGTTTGGTCATGAAGATACAGAAGAATCTACAGGCCATCCAAGTGTAGATGCTCAGTAGGCAGTCACATGGAAGACTAGAGCCCAGGAAAGAGCCTAGATTTGCTCCAGTGACACACAGCTAGTCCAGAGCAGACCCGCACCTACACTAACAGTGCAAGGATGAAACAAATCGGCCCTTCAAAGGACTGGTCAAGGCTGAGAATACTTCAGATACTTTAACAAGGCCATGTTGAGTTACCAAGGAATGGCAACTGTAAGGCCAGTATGATAAGAACACAAAGGATACTTCAGGGATAAAGAGAACCAAGCCAACAAGGAAAACAAAAACAATGCAACTGGGCAGAAGTAAAAGCAAAGCCTGGTGATGTTTTATTTCACAATCCACTCATGACTCTATCCTGTTGTCCTTCTGAGTGCAGAGAAACACAACCCCCTGCTAAACAGCACTGCAACTGGAATACCCTTAAGTGCTAATCCTGGAGATTTATGCTAATACAAGAACATCAACGTTGTAGTAAAGAACACCAATTACCCAAGAAGCAGAAGGATTCAAAATAAAACTGAAGCAAGGAAGCTTATAAGCGTCCTTGAGCAACCCTCTTGCTGATCCTTTTATATACAATAGAAGTAGACTAAAGGGAAGACAAACGGAACTGAATGAGAGTGATATTTTTTTTTTTGAGACAAGAGTCTCACTTTGTCACCTTGGGCAGAGTGCCATGGCGTCCTAGCTCACAGCAACCTCAAACTCTTGGGCTCAAGAGATCCACTTGCCTCAGCCTCCTGAGTAGCTGGGATTACAGGTACCTACCACAACACCTAGCTATTTTTTTTAGTAGAGACAGAGTCTTGCTCTTGCTCTGGCTGGCCTCTTGAGCTCAGGCAATCCACCTACCTCAACCTCCCATAGTGCTGGCCCAGAGTGAATTTTAATACAATTCCAAGTAAAAATCATCTTGCCCCATGTCTAACTCATTTAAAGGAACTGGTTTCTCCCTTCAACTCGTCAAATCAACCGCTCTTTCTACAAGTCACAAAAGATAAACAAAGGCGCTTCACATCTTGCAAAGCACTACCTAAAATCCATGTCTCTTGGATGGCTATTAAGTCTGACAGCATGGACAACCCACTTTAAAAAGTAGACTAAAATGTAAAGCTGTATCTTTAATTAAATTGGGAACTTTTGTATGAAGCCCAACAAATGTGCACAATGTAATTTTCGTAAAATAATAATGGTCCAAAAGGGAATAGGAGCCTTCTCCAAAATGCAAGTAGATGTAGCTTGTGGATGGGTGGATGGGCATTCAGACTAACTCAAGTCTGACCAGGTTGTTGATTTAGATTAGGAAAGTAGCTCATGTTAGTTACAACTAATTAAGAACTTTACGAAGTTTCACATCTTACTAAACAAAATTATTTTTATAGATATTTTAGATAAAGCATCCCAATTCAGTCTTCTACAATTTTTGTGATAAGGCAATGAAAAAAGTCTTGCTGTTGTTATTAAAGTGTAGCCAACTGATGTACAGGAAATACACATGAATTTATTTCACCTTATTAAGAGTCTCCAAGACAATATTGATCATGGACTCAAAATACTACAATGTTGATAAACTGGTTGTTGGGACCCAGAAAATGATTTCCCAAAGTATGGTGCTTTGGCATGCTAAGTCCTCTGACCTGAAGAACACTGGAAGGTTCTCAGAAGCAAGGTCTCTTCTGACCTCCTGTACTTCCTTCTGCTTCCCATTCTCCCCTAATGCAGACCATACAAAGTCTGATAATTAAATTTGCACAGTTATCGCTGTGTGCTTACATTGGCAGCACTGTGTGAACAACTTGGGAAGGTGGTTTCATAACCTTGATATATCAGTGTGTCTCACAGCTGTGCTCATGTCATGTGGTAGTGTCTTGCTGAGTGGCATTCATTATTGTTTGGGGTGTTTTTGTGTGCCATTGTAAGAATGTCACAGCTTGAATTACAGCAAGGAACAAACATTCGTAAATTTCTTGTTAAACACTGTAAGAATGGAAGTGAAATCAGGAACATGTTAGTCTAAGTTTATGGGGATAATGCCATGAAGAAAATGGTAGTGTACAATTGGATTAAACATTTTCCAAGGGGAGAGAAAGTATCCCTGATGAGAAGTCAGAGTGGCCAATAACAAGCAGAACTGATGAAAATATTACAAAAATTCATCAAATTGTGTATCAAAATCATCTGCTAACTGTGAGAAGTACCATAGACCAAGTAAGCATCCATAGAGAAACAGGAAAATCTTAACTTAAAATCTTGGCCAACAACTCATGGCTCTTGAATCACAACAATGTACCAGCTTACATGGCACTGTCTGTGATGGAGTTTTTAGCCAATAAACAAATAACTGTATTGGAACTCCCTCCTTACTCACTTTATCTGGTCCCCAATAATTTTTTTCATTACCTGAAGATAAAGGAAATACTGAAAAGAAGATGTTTTGATGACATTCAGGACATCAAGGGTAATATGATAAAAGCTTCAGTGGCCATTTCAGAAAAAGAATTCCAAAATTGCTTTGAAGGGTAGACTAGGTGCTGGCATTGATGCATAGCATCCAAGGAGGAGTACTTTGAAGTTAACTATAGTGATATTCAGCAACGAGGTATGTAGTGCTTTTTCTAGGATGAGTTCATGAACTGAACTGTCAGGCCTCACAGAAACTAGATTTCCTCTTTCCCAATGAAGGTCATAGAGACTTTAATCTTCCCTGCCTTTCACTATAAGAGCTAACCATACCGACCTGTCTTGTCTGATAGAGGATCATCAAGGCCCTTACTCTAGAATAGGTCCTGCCACATACAAAGAAGGAAGAAATGTTACACAACCATACCCTTTTTATCCAACAGTATTTCTACATAGCCATCCATTCTTCATTGAACCTAAGCATAAAAACAAACAATTTCTCCTGAGTTTTGGGGTCTTAATTTCTGAAGGCTCTTATGTTACATAAAACTTTGATTAAATAAAACTATCATGTTGGAGCTGGGCACAGTGGCATACATCTATAATCCCAACTAGTCAGGAGTCTGAGACCTGGGGAATACTTGAGCCAGGAGTTCAAGACCAGCCTGGGCAATATACTGAGACTCCATCTCCTAGGAAAATTTAAAAACAAAAAGAAAGGAAATAACCTCATGTTTTTCTCTTGCTAACCTATTTTTTGTTAGGTTACACAAAAGTCAAGATAAGTGTCAGCCTTAACCCTTAAAATAGGTGAAGCAAGGTATCAGACCTTTCCATTCCTAATGCTTAAATGGAAAAGAATAAAGTTTTAGATTCTGGGGAGTTGGTGACAGTTGAAAATAAAGCATTCATAATCATCTTTACAATGATAAGTTGACTATTTTAGATGTGAAAAATATTAAAAATATAAAAGGTTCTGTCCTGGGTGAAGTTCTCTTTAAGCAGAAAGCCCTAGCCTCCCAGCTAGGGAGGCTCCTCTGAGATGGAGAATGAAGGGTTACATCCCTCCCCAACCTCCCTCTCCTGGAAGTGGGCTGAGGGAGTCAATTAGCCACCAACAATACAGCTACTCACATGCAGCACCCTAAGCAGCTTTGGACAGGAGAGAAGCAAACAGAGTGATGGCATTTACTATAGGTCTCTCAAACCCAGGGCCATGCTAACAACAAAGTCTGACAACCTCAAGAAGCTGCTTGATTTTTTTTCTCCTTGGTATTGTTTTACAATAAAGTTAAATGTTCACACACGGACTAGCTGAAATTGGGTTACTAAGCTCTTACCCACTGTATCATCTCTCAGCTTCCTGGCACAAACTGGAAGTCACTAACATTGCCTTACAAACATCTCAGACTTCATGTATTTTACTCTCTATTAAAAGGACTAAATTAAGCTCCCAAACTGTCAGAAGTGACCCTAATTAAGCCTCTTATGCATGTGTATGTAACACATTGTCCAAAAGTTTCCCAGAGTTTACACTAAAACTGATAATGAAAATGAATCAAGAAATATATAGGTTTATATAAATAGATACATTTCTAGCAAGTGCTCCAAAGCCCTTGGCTCTTACTTCTATTTTTGCACTTCTTACATTAGAGTCTAATTATTTGTTTGTCTCAACCACATGGGTTGTTTTTCATCTTTGCAACCTCAGCCCCTAACAATGAACATGTGAGGTATTCAACAGAATAACAAATTCCAGCAAATCTCTGTCCTGCTGAGTCTCCCTGACAGCTCTAGCAGCTTGGCTGTCACAGAAATACCTGAACAGCTTGAAGGTCAAGATTCTATATTTCCAAACACCATGGTCACCGCAAGATCTAACCTCCAGATCTGATCCCATGCAGAAAACGGATACCTAACCTATTCCTTACGCTAAGATGAAACCTCAGGGACAAATCCACTACCCAAATTAAAGGTCAGTCTAATCACAAACAATCTCTGTGGAGATCTGCACTTACGATAAAAAGGAGATCCAAGGGTTACAAGGAAAGAATCTGAAATGCTGCTTTCAGATCTCTCCTTTTATAGATTCTTGGCAAGTTTCCTGAGAGCTCAAGTTCCCTTTAAAATGTGTCACGTGTATACCATGCATGCCTGGACAAAGGTGTTAGGTGAAAGCCCAAGCAGAAGCTTCAATACAATGAAGTGATAAGGCCACAGAAAGAAAACCATGAGTAATTCCTGTTAGAATTATAAACATGTTGCTAGGCTCTTTCTGAAGTTATTTTCTTTGGGTTTGCATATTCAGAAACACCATTCAGAGAGACTGTGTTACTTCAGCAGTGGAAAAACCCCATCTACCTAAATCTCTAATACTCATCCTCCCTTTCACATTCATTCCCATTCTCCAACTTGGCTGAAAATTCTTGTCACAGAACCTGAAACTCAATTCTATCCAATTTTCTATGTTTGGGACCAGGTATGGCTCTCTCCATCTGCACCTTTCAGAGAGGAGATCAGATTAGGGAACTTTCTCAGATCCCCTGCTGCAAAGAGTTCGCAGTAACAGTGCCCACCTACCCATTCACACCAACCCACGTTGCATCTGTGCCAGACAGCATGTGCACCCTCTAGGCATCCACCAACCTGCCAGTTCAGCAGGGCAGAACTGGGCAGACCCTAGTACTGTGCTGTGACTGGCATGCCACCAGCTTCCAGGGCAAACGTCCAGGCAGTGCCTACTGCCAGAACTTGTGCAATAACAGGGAGCCTGGCTCCGGCCTGTGCCCGGATCAGAGCTCCCCACAACCCACCCATTAACTAGTAACTCCCTACGTGGCAGTGCCCACTCTCTCCCTCAAACCACTACCCTAGGCTTCAAGCCTAGCAAGCGGCCGCCCAGAATAACCAGCAAAGTGGGTAAAAGCAAGTCTCTGAAAAAAGCACACCTGTGCCCCAGGCCCTGTTAGGGTCTCCAGACCCTTATCCAGTTCTGCCCACTCACCTGCCCATCCCCTGGCCCTCTGCTCACCGCTCTCTCCACTGCCGGACGCCGGGCTGGCTGTTAGCCCCAGGGCTGGACCAGGGCCCACCTGCCCTAACAGAGTCACCCCACTTGCTCCTCAGAGAAGCCTCCTCCTCACCCGCGATTCCCTCTCCCACGCAGACCCCGCCTCTCACGGCAACACCAACTAAACAGGGAGGGACACACCGCCCCCTTTTCCCACCATTTGTCCCCAGTCCTCCTAAAGTCCCGGTTGTCTTTCTTCCTACTTCGCTCCCCTTCCCTCTCTTCGCTGCTCCCACCTCCTTTCCCACGCTCCGTGCCCAATTGCCCTCCCCGCGGGGCCAGCCCTCCCTTTCTCACCTAAGGCCGGGGTCGCCGCTCCACGACCAAGCCCGTGGGTCAGGTGGCGCATGCGCCAGCCCAGCCCCACGACTCCATGACAACCCGTCGTCGCCCGGCCTCTCGCTATCAGCCCCCCGCTTCCCGCCCCTTCCTCCCCCCACCCCCCGCCTTCAGACGGCTTTCACCACCCACGTGACCAGACTCGGACGACTCAGCACCATGGAGACTGCCCGCCGTTTTCCTAGACTGGCCCTTGGAGACTTACCGTTCCTCCGCCCCCGCCGGAAGGCGAGGCCGGGGCGGGGCGGGGCGGTCGCTAGGAGGCGCGCGCTGTCGCGGAGGGCGGACGTCTCTATGGTTGGTTCCTGAGGGCCCAGCCGCCATTTTGTACGCGGTGCCCTGAGCAATGAGCGGCTCGGGCACGGTTTCGGGGCGGGGTTTCGAGCAGGCGGGGTGGGCGGGATTCTCTGGGGGGCGCGGGGGAAGTACTCTCGTGGTGTTCGCTGGCGCGGCGCGGTGACGGGTGGGGGCGGGACGGGTGACGTTGGGCCTGCACGCGAGTCCCCGGCGCGGTGTCCGCGTGACGGGAGCGCTCTCAGCCTCCCGGCGTTTTTGCTAAGCCTTTCGCAAGGTTTTTTTTGCGTTCGGGTCCACCCTCCGGACTCTGCCTCTAGAGGCAGAGACGCAATGAGTTATTTTAGTTGGATGATTACATGTCACTTGATGTTTGACTCACTGTGTCCCGGGCAACTTCTCGAGATTTTTCTCAGGTCAGCTCTTTGTGAAGTTTCACTGTGAGGACACGTGTAACAGCGAAAGGAAAAAGGGGGTTGGGCTTGAGTCAAAGTTGTGAAGCATTAAATGAGTGAGAGTTACTTAGATTAAAGAATTCTTTGAGACGGGCGTTATGGCAGGTGCCTGTAGTCCCAGCTACAATGGGAGGCTGAGGCAAGAGAATCACTTAAGCCCAGGAGTTGGAGGTTGCTGTGAGCTGTGACGGCACGGCACTCTACCAAGGGCCACATAGGGAGACTCTGTCTCAAAAAAACAAAACAACAAAATAAGGAATTATTTTGGGGGGGTGAAAAAGAGGACCCGAGCTCTCAGAGTTTAAAGATTGCTGACAGGGTGAGGCAGATTTTGGAGCTGCGCTGTAACTCATTGAAATTATGTGAAAATTTTACTTTGTCAGTTGTACTAGGCACATTTCTGGAGCCCAATAATCATTGGACGAGGCGGATTATAGCACATTAACAGCCTCGCAGAAGGTTATATTGGCCAGCGTTGATCTAGATGATGTGGAATTGTTTTATATTGCTAATCCAAGCATTTTCAAGCGCTACTAAATCATGGTTAATCACCTTAGTCCTCCAGAAACAGATAATTCTAATGTATTACTGGGTACAAGTGTACTTACTAGATAAGCTCTACTAGCAATGATTGAATGCCTACAACATGTGAGGCTTTTGTTTGGGGACTGGAGAGAATAAAAAAAAATAGTTATTACATAGTTGCGAGCCTGGAAGCTTTACATCCACTCTCTTATCGTTCCCATACAAATTTATGACACAGTATTATAAAGAGTTTTTGCTCATGGGAACGCAACTAAGCCCCAGCTTTTACTTCTGAAGCCATATTGCCTCTGCGGAGGGGTAGGGAGCTGGGATTTTCTTTATTTTTTTGAGAAGGAGTCTCACTCTGTAGGGTAGAGTGCTGTCGTGTCATAGCTCACAGCAACCTCAAACTCTGGGGTTCAAGTGATCCTCCTGCCTCAGCCTCCCATGTAGCTGGGACTACAGGCACCCATAAAGCCTGGCTAGTTCTTTTTTTAGAGACAGGGTCTGGCTCTTGGTCATGCTGGTCTCCCGACTCCCAAGAACTCCACCCCCCCTTGGCCTCCTAGAGTGCTGGGATTACAGGTATTAGCCACTGGGCTCAGTTTGTCTTCTTTTTTTAAAACTAAATTTTATTTTTTTAATCGACAGTTGTACATATTCCTGGTGCATAGTGATGTAATTAGCATATCCATCATCTCAGCCTAATTACCCCTTTTTGAAGTAAAATAAAACAGTCTCTGCCTTCAGATATAGGAAATAAAACATACTCAAATAAGCCGTATGGGAGAGAATGGGGTAAATACCAGAAGCTTCTGAACAAGACCTAATTAATGAAATCTTTTTGGCCAGGCTTAGTGGCTCTCGCCTGTAATCCCAGCACTCTGGGAGGCTGAGGTGGGTGGGTTGCCTGAGATCACAGGTTCTAGACCTGCCTGAGCCAGAGCAAGACCTCATCTCTAAAAATAGCCAGGCATTGTGGTGGATGCCTGTAGTGCCAGCTACTTGGGAAGCTGAGGTAAGAGGATTGCTTGAGCCCTGGAGTTTGAGGTTGCTGTGAGCTGTGATGCCATGGCACTCTACTGTCAAGGACAACAAAGTAAGACTCTGTTTCCAAAAAAAAAAAAAAAAATCAATCTGGGTTTTGTTTGTGGTTGGAGGAAGAAGAGACCAGCAGATAAAACATTAAGAAGGATAAAGTTAGATTTATAATAATGGAAGTGGGTGAAAGCATCAAAAAACACCAGACAAAAAAGAACGAAATAAAAGCATGAGGGACAGCCTTATCATGGTCCTACAAAGGGGCAAATAAGTGAAACTTCCCTGATTTTACCTAGATCATGAGCAGACAGTACTGAGTACATGAGTACTGTTTGAATAATTTGAACTTCAAAAACAAGTTTTGTAATGGAACCAAATGAATCAGGCCAATTTAATAATAGGCCTTATTTTTATGACCACTGTATGGTTCTATATAGTTAGATGTATAGAATAAGTAATTCATGACAATAGTGCATATTTTTGTATACCTAAAACTACCATAAAAAAATTTTCTTGTTAATTTTCCAGTGTTTGCAAATCAGCGTTTCTGCTAACAGTTTCCTAGTATCACGAGTTCTTTCATTTTTACTCTCTTTATTCTTGGTTAGGGTAAGGTCCCTATGCTGGAAAGTGGGTTTTGAAGCACTGTTTCTTCTTTCTGTAGGGTCCTTTCCAATTGGAGTCCTCTGAAGTACCATTGTGGGTCAAGACTCATTTTGTCACAACCACTGCCAGCAGGGGGAGACGTGCTCCCCTTAAATGCTCCATTTAGGGATTTATAAATGTTTCTTTTTCCGTTCTACTCTCTTCTTCATTATTACCTGCTCTGTCCATGTGAGGATTTGAGCTTTTAATCCTGCATAGAATACCTTGAAGAGTTTTATTTGAAGATATGTAAAATTATGTACTGTAAAACAAATATAATTGTTTAACAGATATTTTAAGATCTAAAACTAAATTTAGACTGGACATGGTGATTCACACTCTGGGACACAGAAGTGAGCAGATTCCTTGATCTCAGGAGTTTGAGGTCAGCTTGAGCAAGAGCGAGACCCCATCTCTACTAAAAAAAAAAAAAAATTTTTGGTGGACATTGTGGCAGGCACCTGTAGTCCCAGCCACTCAGAAGGCTGAGGCAAGAGGACCACTTGAACTCAGGAGTTTGAGGTTGCTGTGAGCGAGGCTGAGGATATGGCAGTCCAGCCCGGGTGACAGAGCAAGACTTTGTCTTGAAAAAATAAATGGGCTTGGTGCCTGTGGCTCAAGTGGCTAAGGCGCCAGCCTCATACAACTAAGGTGGTGGGTTTGAATCCAGCCTGGGCCCGCCAAACAACAATCATGGCTGCAACAAAAAATAGCCAGGCATTGTGGCAGGCGCCTGTGGTCCCAGCTACTTGGGAGGCGAAGGCAGGAGACTCGCTTGATCCCAGGAGTTGGAGGTTGCTGTTCAGCTGTGATGCCACAGCACTCTGCCCAGGGGAACAACTTGAGGCTCTGTCTCAAAAAAAAATAAAATAAATAAAATAAATGAATAAAATTGAATTTGAAATTGTCATTTTAAATTTATTTAAAAGCAATTAAAATGGTGTAATAGGAAACAATAGAAGTATTCAAAAGATGTCATTTCAAATCCTAGCTCCTATCAATATCATTTTATAAAAGGGGGCATTTCACCATCCTTCCCATATACACAGGAAGGAAGATAAGATGTAATCTCACAATTTAAAAATCGGTTTCAGCTTTACGAAAAACTTACTGCATTCTTATTTTTCCAGTTTTGCTGAGGACTGTTAAAAGCCTTACTGTAAGGACTGACATCAGTTCTTGCACTGATATTTGGGTACCATTGATTTCATTTTCTTAAGCCTCAGTTTGGCCATCTGTGAAATAGTTATTCTCTAGTTTAAATCTAGCATCTAGCATTATTGGTGCTGACCCCTTCATAGACTTTATATAAAGAGTATTTTATGGGGTGTTAAGTGTATGTATGCTCCAGAGTTTCAGAGTCATGGGTCAGTGAGGAGCTCCAGCCTGTACAGGTCCCAGGTGGCAGAGTCAGTCACAGGCCAACGATAGAGGGATGTATGACCTGTTTTCCCTTAGCAGTAAGGTGACAAGGCCTCCACTGGCCAGGCTGGTTCTTGGCTTATATTCTTAGGGAGTATCTGGAAGGACAGGAATACTAAAAGGCTATAGTCAGGCTAATATTAATATATAGAGATAGATTTGATTTTAGAGGCCAATGGAAATCCCTCCCAAATGGATCTTCATCTTCTTGCTGGTACCTGAAATTCTAGTAAATATAATTGCTTGACGCCCAAATACTCAGGAACCCAAGACAAATTATTTCATAACTAACACAGAGAACTTACTGTCTGCCAGATACAGTCTTAAGTGACTTGGCCAGATTTATTCATTTAATCCTCCCATGGTCTTATGAGATGGGTGTAGTATCATTATTTTCCTTTTATAGAGCAAGAAACTTAAGATTCAGAGGCCATGTCACTTGTCAAGGTCGCTAGTAGTAAGTGGTGGAGCCAGGATTTGAATTCCAGAGTCCTCGCTTATAGCCACTTTGCTCAGTAGCCTCTGTGCTACAGTGGAAATGGATAATACCATACCTTTTCTTGCCGTGCTAAGGAGGCCAGTGGGAACCCAGAAGCACTGGGCACTTGTGTGGGAAGGTACCAGGAATGGAGGCTGGGCACCATACGGGCACACCTTGCAGAAAACAACTCCAGCAAGCTGTCTTTTTCTTTTCAGTTTGCACATGGTGCAGGTATCCACCCATCTTCCCAAACTATTTAGAAGCTGTTAGACTCCCCTGTCTAGAATCTTTTAGTGGA